CATAGGTACAGCTCATAGTGCAGAGATGTCCAAATTCCATGTTGCGATATCGAACTGAAAATGAGTCTAATAGGGGGCAGCCAGACAAATCGCGCAGCGTGACGGCATACTGGACAGGAGGCAATTGAGACGTCCCTGTGGCAGTCGATCCCACGTTTGCAGCTAGGCAGCTTTAAACTGTGGTATGGTTTTTCGAAGGCGTATGACGAGATGAAATTGCACTCCAAAGAGCATTCCAGGCATGCTCCATAGGATCAGGAGATCTGACTGACCAGTCCGCGCAGAGAATACCCCAACTTTCCAAATAATCGTCCATCAGCTAATCCTTATTTGGACGAGCGTTGTCGCTCATTAATAGGAACCCAGGACCAACTGCGCTCCTGAAAAGTCGAGTATATGGCTCTAAGGATGTCTTTTCGATATCTCAGATCTTTCGATTTTCGATATCTAGCTGTCAGGTAGCCTTTGTCAAACATATGCAGGAGTGTGCGGTCGTCCTACATAATGCCTAACCTAACCGTTACACCTCTACCACTGTAATATTACTTTTCCTTGATGAGAGAGGGTAGGTATCTTGTTCCAAGCTCTCCTCCAGACACAGGTACGCCAAGAATCAGTGTCCAGATTGATTCCTGAATCATCTGTGAAAAGCACGGTGCTCCACTTAAGTGTAGTCCAAACAAAGCTCATGTCACCATGCTAAAGGTACTCTCTTGTGGGCTGCAGTAAACGGGGCACCAACAGTGAGTCTTCTGGCATACAACCCTACCTCATTAAGTCTTCGGGTAACTGTAAACCGTAAAACTTGGGTTCTAGTGGAAGTTCTATTTAGCAATTTTGGCTCAATACATTTCGTAAAAAAAGACATAATTTGCAAATTATTTTAATTTTGCACACGAGTATTATATTAGAATATTCGTATATTAGAGTGTATATTAGAATATGCTTGTTTGCTTCTATTTAGAAAAACAGTGAATCTGTTTTGAGATTATCCACCCGTCCCATGATTTTGTTCTCTTATGAAGGTGATTATGTCTTAAAGAGTGTAAGTTCACTATCGACAATCATTTATGTTCATAGAAATATTGATAATTTTTCGTGACTGCCATGAAAAAGTTCAGCGTAATTACAAAAAATTTTGTACACCTGAAAAGGCTCCTGTTACCAGAGAATACTTAAATTTTCTTAGAAATAGTGACATTCCCTTTATCTGAACGTTAACTATTCTTCATTTCCTATTAGACGAAAATTTTTGAAATAGCAACTGTAATTTATTGAACATAATGATACGAATTATTGCAGATAAATACTGATTATACGCAATTAATATGAACTACAAAGAGTATGGAACTATAAAAAAGTTAAATTTATATTTCATTATAAAAAATGAGTATTAAAAAAATGAATTATAACTATACTGGTTTGTAACAGGGTTAAAGGTACCAAAAGAACTTCTCAGAGCATGCAGTTCTCAATAACCTTCAAATTTGCAAGGTTTCGTGATTCTGCTCTTTTCCTGCTATAATGAAAAGCAATAAATATTGAATATCTATTTTAAAGAGGGGGGAAAAAGAGCAATCGAACGCGATATTCATTTATATTGCATAAGGGATCCACCACAGCTTTGGATATATTGACGTATCTGAGGAATTACATAAACAAACTTCTAACGATTCTTCTTTTCTCTTTAATGATAGATTCAGGTACTAGACTTTTTTTCCTTCGTGTAATTCCCTCCTATTTAGCTTTTTTGGTCATCCATCATCCATTTTTTTCATATCATTATTAATAAAATTTTTACCCTAGCAAGGAATGAAACTTTTATATTTCATTTAATCGTATTAGTCGAATATGCGAAGTACGTAACAACCTAGGATTTTCGAAGTTGCTTTAACAAAAAAAGAGGAATTTGCATATTAGGCTGGTTAGTTTTATTTGGTTAATGCAAAACACGCGTTCTGTTCACAGCTTGATTCAAAACGATTTTCAGGTTTTTGGGAATTGCTTTAGCTACTGAAACTTCACGAAGAATGGAGCATTTAGTAAAGTGAGTCTCAGATGCTACTTTCTTTACTTGAGAAATAACACAGGAATGTTTCTCTGTTTAAGCCCAAGCTTCGTCAATGCACTTAATCAAAAGAATATTAGTCTCATACATAGAATTGTTAATTACTTAGAAAATTTCATTTGCAGTTGCTGTATCATAAAGAGATTCACAAAATAAATACTCTTCGGCAATTCGTTTATCTTCTTTGAAACGTATGTAACCGAATAATTTAACAAATTTCGTTATATCAGTACTTTCATCCAATTGCAATGCGAAATACTCACTGTATTTTATCTTTAGAATAAGTGTCTCTTTTACGGAATTTACCATTTCGTGAATTCGTCGACTTATCCTAGCATTTGATAACGGAATATTAACTTCCGACCATGAAGTTAATATAACTTCGGTTAATTAACTTCGGAACGTCTTCTTTCTGTTAGAGACTCCAATTCAACGTAAAAATGGTTCTGTTTGAAAATAGGAGCTCGGAAAGGGTGGCGTTATAAAATGTAGACATTCCAATAAATCGATCAACTCTAAAAGAATTAATGAGATACTATTATCTTTTTATAAGAAATTATTTTATATCCTATTAAATACAGCATACATTTCTATTACTCCTTTTAAAAACGTTTATGACAAATTTTGTTATGTCTAAGGCTAAAAGAATATTTGTGAAAATAAAAACTGATTATTTTGCTAAAGTCTATGAGTGGCTAGCGTGACCTTGATCAAAGCTCAGATGACATAAATTTACGACTGTTAGAGAAAAAACTTAAAATGAATGTTGAGGTATTTGATTTTTGAATTTAATAATTTTTTATTTGCCTACCACCTTTTTTCCTCTTGCGTACCACCGGTTGAGATTCGCTGATTTAGACGTTAATTTAGAAGCATGGTTTCAATTAACTTGCTTTTAGAACTGAACAAATTTGGAATCTTTCATTTAATAAAATATTACGACTCTACTCTTAAATTTATGCTTAAAAGTAAGTCACATGGATTTTAAGTTTTCTTCAAGCCAGTTATACGGATTTCGTTTTTCCTGAAAATTTTAGTAAGGTAGTGAACAAACCAATCGAGCATATTTTAGCTTTGTTAGCTACTCGATCAGTCGCGCAAAACAATTTAAAAAGAGCGGAGCTTTAGAATTTCCGATACACAGTCTCGGCCTTTTTTTTTTTTTTTTTTTTTGGCCGGTGCAATGTTGCCATTGCTCACTTTGAAATCGTTGAGTTTGTTCATCAAAAATTCGTTAAAGTTTTATAAAATAAGAAGTAGATAATAAAACAAGTTCCAAATTTGAGCTTCCACATGCCCATATTTAGAGTGACGAACTACGTTATTCAAAATTTGATGTCTCTAGGTATACCGTTGTTTTTTCACAACGCGAGAAACGTACATACAGAGTAATAATCAGTACCCAAATCTATGATTTTCTGCCAGTGTTTTAGTACGTTTTTCAAAGCCTTCGGCCCAGCAACTTGGTGGCCGCGAGTCCAAAAATAGATCAACCTCATTTCGGACATCCTCTGCAGAATGAAAGATAGCACCAGCAAGATGGAGCTGCAGGTGTGTGAAAAGATAGACGTCCGAAGGAGCGATGTCGAGGCTATTTGGTGAATGAGGCAAAAGATCCCATACGAGTTCGTACGGAGTTCAATCGGTGAATGCAGACAATGTGGTCTTGCATTATCTTGATGGAACATTACTTTTATGCGCCGGAACTCAGTTCTACGTTTATCCTTGACTGCAGTGTCAGTACGAACTAGCATCTCGCTGTACACTTTTTTCCAGATACTTTTTGTGGATAATAATACGCAATCTCACCAGATAAAATGAATGGTCGTTTTGTTAGTCAAATTGCCACTTTTGCAACGCTGCCGATGGGGTCGCAGGGCGCATACCAAACCCCTTTTGTTGAAGTAAATGACGATCCGGTCCAGAATTTTGTCCTTGCATTGATATTCGATCAGATGAGAGCTCGAGATCATCTGTCCTTATCTGCTTGTGATAGCTGATGGGGCACCTAGTGATTGAACACTTGTACGCCAAGTTTAATGTGATATATAGGGCGATTAATGGACATGGTACTAACGTCTAGCTCCTTAGCAAGCTCTCGAGTGGTTGTATACTGATCTTCTTCCACAAGTTCCGGCATACGGGCCTCATCAACATCAGTAGGCCGGTCAGAGCGCTTTGTTTCTTGAATGTCATAGTCCTTGTTTTTGAACTTTCGGTACTAAACTTTCACGTTATATGATATAACATTAGTACCTAAAGCTGTACTTTTGGTGACTTTCTCTAGCTGGCGTTTTGCAATAGAACTGGAAGTAATGATGGTTCTAATGTAGTAGTGTGATGGTTCCATTTCAGACACCTTGTATTTAATGATAAGGGTATTTGTTTTACACATTTCACCATACGGTGTTCGAAATCAAGTCTCTTTCTTTCAAATGCCAAAAATCGTTTGACAAAATATGATTAAACACCCCTGCGCGAACTGTTTGCGCAGACGATATTTGCCTTGGCGGGAATTTTTCGTTAAAACCCGATACATATTTAAGATAATAAAAATTCCAATGTTAAATATTGTACAAGCGCTTAGGATTAAATCACCTAGGACGAAGCATTAGAATATAGTATTAATGAGCATCATTAGAAAATTCTGAATAATTTATTTAGTAGGCTTAAATTACATATGATCTAGGAAGCATTGTAATTTACTTTATAACCTCTTGTCTTCACTGATAAATTCTGAAAGGATCATATAAAATTTCTCTTTTCTTATAAAATTCGAAGTTATAAAACCTTACCTTTTATGCAAAGATTATTTTTTATTTCATGTAAAATTTGTAACTATTATAAATTTTTAGCAATGAACGTATCAATTTATTGTCACTAGAAATTGTTAAAAATATTTTTTTTTTAATCCCATGCATTTCGTTTTCAGTATCGAAGCTAAATTCTACTAATGCAGAGTATCTTGCAGAGTTAATAAAGGAAAGAAGTAAGTAAATTATTTCTTTTTGTTGTCAAAATTAAAGAAATATATATATGTTTTTTCAAAATGCTAAATTTTTGTGTTTTCAAATACAAAATATTTCGGCATGACCGTCCATGCAGAAAGGTATTAGAACCTAAAATATTACTAAAGGCATGTTCGCTTATCACTTCTGTGCTTACTTTGTTATCTTAGTATCGTAAACGCTATGTTTAGCTTCTCATTTTCTATTTCTGTCAATTTTAATTCAGTTTATATGTTTGATACTCAAGTTAAACGTTTTGCATTTTACATACCTTATTTTATCTTTGGATTTTAGTTACAATAAATTATTTTAAGATTTTATTTGCCAAATTTAATGCATAAAAAGCAGTGTAATGAACGGGAAAATGCTTGAACATAACTTACATTTATACAGAGGATGTTTACACATTTTTAGAACGATTTTGGCGTCGTTTGATTAATATTCAAAATGTAAAAAGTACTTTTTAAATATTTGATATGATATTCTTTGTTTTGGATTTCGTGATTTCCATGATAGAAGGGCGTTACGTAAAATTTCCCAGGGGTACTGATTTCCATTCCTCTTCCACTACTTACCAGAATCCGTGAACCGTGGTGAGTTTGCGCTTAGAAATAATTATTTTCGAGAGATCAAAAGCATGATAGTTCACAGGCGAACCTTCAGAGAACTTTGTCAGAATACTTTAAAAATGTGTGTGTGCAGTACTAATATCAGTCTTCCTTTTCTTCAAGGAATGCAGGAGTACTTTTCAAAGTATGACTTGTTGTTTGTCTTGATGAAATTTCACTGTTTGAAAGTCACTGGGATAAAGAAATGGAATTTCTTCTTTAAATATAGGACATAAGACATTCTCTTGATACTATATTGAATTGATTTTAACAATTTTTTCTGCTCGTCTTACTTTTAATGTTCTATTTTCTGTTGTAAGAGAATCCTGGAAGAATCTTAAATCCCTTACGGAAACTTTTCTTTGCCATTGTCGAAACCATGATTGTATAGTTTTCCTCTTCGTTTCCGAAAATAAATAGACCTTTTCTTATTGCAGTCATTTAGGTAAGCTCATGCTTCATTAAGCTTCATTATTTTCTGCGTTGAGCCACATACCTAGCCAAAACCTGGTAAACATTTATGTTTTTAGTTTTTACAAGTTGTAAATCTTGGTTTATTATTTCACTTATTGTTGCTACCGATTAGTTAAAGACAATTGCTTTCTGCGTTGGCAAAGTTTATCTTTTTTATCAATGATTTATAGAGACGTTATTTACATTTTTCGGGAATTCGTTTGGATTGTCGTAATTTCATGCAGTTTTATGTCTAATAAATTTTGCTTATTTTGCGCTTAGAAATTTTAAGGCCGTGCATTTCACAACGTTTCTAAATTATGGAATAGAAATATATATCTTCGGAAAGCGGAAAAACATATCCTTGAATCCTTTCTTCCAACATTTCCCTCCGTCCTGTTTACATGCGCTATTTTGAGAAAAGAATAAATTTCAAGGATAGAATTAGAAACCAAGTAAAAACTGAATGCTGCTAACTGTTCAATAGCGGATCAAGAAATAACTATTGAATATTTAATTGTAACATAATTAGTGACTATAGGGAATTAGGGAAAATTTATTACAAAAGACACACTAAAATTCTAGTAGTTCATTCAAATTCGTTTATACTTAAAGTTTGTTAAAAATAATTGGAAAATCTTCAGTTCCCGCTTAAGGCTACGGAACGTCACGCTATTTTGATTCTAAGTGTTACTTCGAAAGGGAATAACTCTTGATTACGAAAGTAGAAGCGACAGTAAGGAATTCACGTTTCTGCCGAGCCTCAAAGTAGGTCTAATTATAGGTCATTTTTTTAAAAATTCACTTAATATTTTATAATTTAAAGAACTGTTTACTTAAAATAAGTCAAATATTTTGAAGTATTTTCTCATTCGTTTTCTACGGTTAAATCACCGAAAGTTTTCAGCGAAGATCAATTTAAAATGTAAAGTTTAAGCATACATTTTTAGACAATAATGTTATTCAGCTTTCTATTATGTAAAAAGACGATATTTCTCATTTAAAATAATAAACTGTTGCCAGAAATTTTTATTTCGAAACATTTGCTTCTTTGTAGTTCTTTGTCGAAATTTTCCTAAAAATATATAAACACCCTCTGTACATTTATTTTTAGTAAATAGGAATATTTTAATAAACAGACATAATGTATAAACATAAAATTATATGAAGTGCATAAATACCGAAGGAAATCCTTAATAAATGGTGCAATAAACTTCGAAATACATGAAAAAACACAATAGCTTCAAATATCGTCAATGCAATCTGCTACGAAAAATGGTTCAAAAGGGAAGGAATGATGTCTGGTTACCTAAGATAAACCAATCCTGGTTCAGGATACACGCGCTGCAATAAAACAACGGCAGATCTCATACTGTAAGGTAAATCTGTCTGCTGACATATACATACAGACCATTGACAGTTAAACTTAACGGTCCCTCCTCATCGAAGACCTCGCGACTAGGAACATGTTGATCAGGTCAGACACCACTGTAGACATTATTTGATTAGAAGCAGGCGTTGGAATTGCCACTTGATGCGAAATATCTTTTCGCAAGTTTTCTCGCAGCGGTTCAGCCGTATCCGTAATTGTAAGATGGTGTCATATGGTGATGGATGATTAAAATGATCGGTGTTTGATCACGTTGCTATGCATTTTCTCTAAGTCGCTCAGATCTGCTGCAGAAATGTGCTTTGTATTAAGAACGGACATCACCATCATTGCATTGTTAAAGTCTTGTGCCCGATTAATTAACTGGCTCCCTAGCTAAGACCACCCTTCCAGCATTTTTGCTTTCTATAATTCCTCTGTTTTGCCCATATCAACTCAATTATGGCACTTAAATATCTATCGAATCTGTAAATTTTCAAGTGACTGCAGTTCGCTGACACAGTTACCGCTTTATTTCAATTTCTGACTTAATGTATCCTCTTCATTGTATATTTTTTGAGCGTCTGGGAAACCGCTATTCGGGCTTTGGCCTTAATTAATCATTTGCATATTCCATTTTGAAGCATCTGAACACGGAATTTCGAATTCCATTGAGATCAAACCACGATCTTTTATTGGGGGGGGCGAGGGAGAATTTATTTGAAAGCAGTTCTTTAATTAAGTGAAATTTCTTTCCCACAAATTTTTACCACATGATAAAATAAATATTATTCACATTTTTTATTTTAAAATACTATACTCTCTTAAGAAATGTATTAGACACTATTAATAAGCCACCGGTGCACATGGTATATATATGTATATATTTTCGAATAGAAAGCTCAATAACATTATTGTTTAAAAATGCATGCTTAAACCTTTACATTTTAAATTGATCTTCGTTGAAAACTTTCGGTGATTTAACCGTTAAATACTTCAAAATATTTAATTTATTTTAAGTAAACAGTTCTTTAAATTATAAAAGATTAAGTGGATTAAAAAATTGACCCATAATTAGACCTACTTTGAAGCTCGGCAGAAACGTGAATTCCTTACCGTCGCTTCTACTTTCGTAATCAAGAGTTATTCTCTTTCGAAATAACACTTAGAATCAAAATAGCGTGACGTTCCGTAGCCTTAAGCGGGAACTGAAGATTTTTCAATTATTTTTAACAAACTTTAAGTATAAATGAATCTGAATGAACTACTAGAATTTTAGTATGTCTTTTGTAATAAATTTTCCCTAATACCCTATATTCACTAATTATGTTAAAATTAAATATTCAATAGTTATTTCTTGATCCGCTATTGAACAGTTAGCAACATTCGGTTTTTACTTGGTTTCTAATTCAGGTACTGAAATTTTACAGCATTTTCAGTGCTGCTTGAACGTTCCTAAGAAATTACTGATGATCTAGTTGCTTGTATTTCATGCTTATTTCCATATTTAATTATTCCGTAATAATCTGTTTTTATTAACCATTGTTCTAATTACTGTATATGTTATTTATATATAATGTAATTTGTTTAACTGAGTAGACTAAAATTCATAGCATTAAAAAATTCCTAAATGTAATAATATATATATATATTACATTTTATTATCATGCACAGGAAAATAATGTCAAAAAATGGAGTGAAACATGATCATAATTTCAGCAAAAAAAAGTTGTTGTAAATTTCACTTCTTTAGTTAATTGGTCCTAGATATATAATTCCTATTTTAAAGTCTTTAAAGATATATAGCAGAGTAATTTATGAACATAACTTTTAACACAATTAGTGGGAGGTACTTGTAAATATAAAATCCAGCTTTAGAGAACTAGAATTTCAGTTAGTAAAATATGTTCTAATGGGTTAAATTCGAAACTTCACATTCTGTGAATTTAAAATTCATAGTGAAATATCCGATATCCGATTCATATTTTCCAACGGGGCCAGCTATGCATTTTATAACGAACACTGCATTGGTTAAATCACATTTATTAATCGCTAAAAGGAGCGGCCTCTTTCCTGTAACCACTTCCTAAATTTGGTCCAAATAAGCAGGCAAATAGGCTTTGAAATGTGATTTAAAACAGTGCATTGTTTTTCAAATGTCAGTGCAAATATTTCACGTAAAAATACGGCACTCATGGCTTTCAGTGTATTGAAGCAGGATGATTTAATTATTTTTACAAAAACTACCATCAACAATGTTGAAAGAGTTTTAATAAAATTATCTACATCATTTTAAGAGAGTTTGCATTCGAAATGCATGTAACGACATCTATGTACGCTTAAAATTAAACAGGATACTTTTTTTCTTCGTTGCGGGCGGTCAACTATTTATTTATACTCAGAATACAATGGATTATTTAAAACAATTAAACTCATGAAATGTTCTACTATTTAAAATATTCTTGAAGTTAAATTACTTAAGGTAGCGTTTAAGATCTAGGAATCTTAAAAAAATACAAGAAAAGATTACTTTCTTTCAAAATAAAATGAACGTTTGTAACCATATTCGAATAACAGAAATATCTTGAAATGCAGTAATTCTCTTTGAACATCTTGTGTAATGTTTTAATATTATACTTTATTTTCTCTGTATAAGATAAAAGAATTATTTTAAGAAGGATTATAGTGTTATTATTCATATCTCTACAGTTTTATATATTAATACTTGAGACTCATTTTCCGAATTGATGAGACAGAAACCAGCTTAGAACAATACTAAAACTATTTGATATTGCATTATACCTCATCGATTTGCTGTTGTCTCGCTTTTCAGGTTTTCTTCACTCTATTTCCGGAAAGAATTTTGCAGTTAAGCATTCTTTCCCTCGTTCCCATTCGCAGTACGAAAGTGTTACAAAAGCAACTACTCAGAATATTGCATAAGTATTTATTTGTAAATTTGTTCTCTGTATGCAATGTAATTCTGAAAAAATTCGACTAATTCAGTAACAAAATTATTCACATTTGTTGTGGATGATCACGGTAAAGAAAGACCTCTCTCTATGCATAATTTTCATTTCGACTATAAATAATTAGAATGTGCCAGAGTATAACTCTTAATTACTAAAAGAAAGTTGCATGAAGTTGTAGAATTTTCTGGTTATATTGCAATTCACTTACACAACAAAAAGTGCCAGGTTTCATCGAGAATTAAGATCTCTTTCATAAACTGGGAATTTCTGTATCTGGGTTCTATTGGACTACACAAGTCAACAAGTAAACACAAGTTCTGTTAGGACTGTAATGATTATAAATATATATTTAGCTACACCTTCGCATGCTCCTTTAGATGCCCTTCAGAAGCTTATTCATACGCCTAGAACTTGGAAGCATGATTCATAATTTGTTACGTTTTTCAGTTCAGCATTTGATAGATTTTACCTTTTAAAAATATAATTGAATCTATACTGCATGTTTCAAATGTTAGATAGCAGCATTTTTAGAATAATTAAATTTTTTTAAATAGATGAATTTTTAGTTATCTGCTTTATTCTGAATGATCAAAGATTATGAAAAATTAAATTCTTGCAAATAAATGCAACTGAAACACCTATGCGCCTTTTAATCCGTTTTAGAGAAATGATGCAATTACCTGGAAGCATTTAATAAAAAATTAATATAGCTTCATTTTTTTATTTCAAATTTTAATTCACAAAACTCCATAACTTGAACTGTAAGTGTTAAGTTTCTTTCTAAAAGGTATTAATAGTAACTTTCATTTAACATTGTCTTTTTAAATGTTATAATTGTGAAATATTCACATATAATGTCTTCGTTTTTTCGTTTACAGATATTGAGAACAGTTTTTACATAGAAGGACTCATTGGGATTCTCATATGCAGTCTGGTTTTGCTTGCAATTATTGCAGTTATACTCTATTACATTATACCATGGCACAAGTGAAAATTTAATGCTGTGATAATGTGCTGTACATTGGAAATGTACTTCGTTAGGCACATATTACAAAATCGTTTATTTCAGTTATTGAATTATGTAAAATCATTGTGATATTTTCCAGACCAAAGCCAGCAATATTATGTATTTTTCACTCCCTGTTTTGTTGATACCTCCCGCCTCCGAATTCACTAACATAGGATTTGGTTTGGATTAACTAATTATTTTGTTTTAAGACGTAAATATTTGCTGTTGCATATATTTTGTTCATTTTTATATTCGTACTGAATATGAGTGTGTGATGCATGCATTTTTGCAAATGTTTATTACGTACGAAAAAAGATACCTACAATTTTTTATGCAAATAATAAATATTGTTTGAAATGTTGTCCAGTGTGTTTTTATATAAAACTGCAACAGAGAGGAATTGAAAATATTGTTAAAAATATCATGCATTCGTTATCAGAATTTCAGTTATCTGAAAAATCTATTATAAATTCTATACTTTAGCTATTTTCACAAAGCATCAATCTGCAATGACTTGAACAAGGTCTGTTTGTTTAGTCAGTTATCGCAAAGCACACCAGAGCACTCAGTTATAGACTTTATTTAGGACTAAGAAACTGACTCGTTTTCACGTTGCATATGGAAAAAACGACAAAGACGGGCATGCAACTAGCACGTTCCCCGGCGTTGAACTTTTTCTATCTGTATGCAGTGCACTTCAGTCGGACTACCACTGTTAAACGTTTTATCAACTCTGCTACCAGAGTATTTACTAATTACTGGTTACAGAAGCGAAGCAACAAAATCTTAAACAAAATTCCGTGATCACACTGTATGCAAAACTTGGAGAAAGTGGAATGCAAATACGCTAGAAATAAACGAAGAGCATGCCGTAGCAGAACAAATTTTCTGATGAAAAAAGCCGTTTTGAAATGCCTGTGAAAATTTGGAAGTTGGGATGCATTACTGAAGACATTAAACGGCATAAGCAGAAGACAGGCCGAGAAGGTGAGAATATTATTGTCTTAAGATGATTGACAGGTAGGGTAGAAGGATATTTTTTCTGGCCAAACACTGCAGACAGATTGATTTTCCATCATAAAAATATGCCCTGTTATCTAATTTATCAATTAATTTCATTAGTTTCACATCTAGTTCATCCCTTTTCTTATTTAAAATTTCATGTGAAAGGCGATTTCGAAACAGTCGCACTCATTATGACATTTTCGAAAACAAGCAAATGACCTTGATGATCCAGCTGATGGAAACCGCATTAGATGACACCCACATCAGGCTGAGTAGGAGGTGAGCCTTTAGTGATGCGCCTATTTACTAAAGGAACTACCTTGACAGTGAATAATATGTGTATCTGTACATCTCTTAACAGTTTTCTGGCAGCTGACTCATTATTTTTTCCATATTTATACGATATTACTTCGCATTCTTGCTTATTATGAACAAAATATACAGATGTTTAAGGGTAACTTGCTTTACACGCTTAAAGATACATATGCATATGAATAAAAGCACGTTAGAAATATGTAACTAGATAGTAACGCTCTGCAATTGATCTAATCCTCAAGCAATATATGTACACACTGTACAAAAAATGGATCAGTTTTATATCTCCTGTTTTACTGGGCCGACTGACGAAATTTACTTTGCATTTTTCGTGTCTCGAAGGCGTGACTTTGGATATAGCATTACTCTAACGTAGGTAAAAATTTTGACACAAAATCGGACCTTTTCTGAAATAACATACCCATTTTTTCCATATTTCGATCCTACAACTCAAATTATGCCAGAGTGCCAAGTTTTGTAAAAAAACCCTCGAGTAGTTTTCGAAATTTTAGCTCCTCGGTGTTAATTCGATTTGGTATATATTGCATTTATTATTACCTCTTTTTTGTTACACTCTTCATTCCTTTTTTCCCAATTCGAAATTTAGGTTCAATCTATATAAAATTCGCAGATATTTTTTGATTCATTTTTTAAATTTTTATAAATTTTTCGAAAATATTTAATTACAACCTATAAAATTTTTAACACCACCTTAAAGTAGATGTATTTCTAGACATTCGTGAAGAAAACTAGAGTTTCTATTCAAAATTTCCAAAGATATACGCGAATTTATATATTGGCGCGTTTCAAAATTTGGCATACTTGTTATAAGCGAGCTTTACTCGCTTTGTTAAAATTATTTGAAAGAATGAACGATGCACTTTTTTCCCGCTCATATACAATGAACAAAGGAAAAAGAAAGTAGGTTGCTATAAATTAAGAATTTTTCCAAGTGTAAAAGTCAACAAGTGTTCTTTCAGTTTTCTCTCAATTCATAAATTGAAAGAAATGCGCCAAGATAAATTTTAAAAATTTTCACCAAGTTTCTCATCAGATTTTACAAAATTTAATATTTGAGTCGTAGAATCGAAATAGGAAAAAAATCGATGTTATTTCAGGAAAAGTCTGATTTTTTTTTTTGAAATACCTATGTTAGAAAAGTGCTATATATAAATCTAATAAATATCTTAAATTTCGTTTTCGAGACATGAAAAACGCAAGTCAGATTTCGTCCGTCGGCCCAGCAAAACGATATACAACTGTCATGTTTTTATACAAGGTGTACATCTAAAGCAAAATCTTGTTTCACTCTTAGTTTTTCAGCAATATGTCATTAAAAATTTCTGTTTCTGACTAAATTAACTTTAATATACTATGCTTTAATGAAAGTTATATAAAATCTTTTACTCAACCGAGCTGAAACGGACAGGACATCTCGTTTGTTAATTTAAAGATTTTGTAATGTAGGCTATTGAATTGTTCGTGAATACTTAAACTAATTACTCCTACTTTACTTAGTAAGCTAAATACCTATGCTTAAAAAAAAAAGAAAATTATCTAGGTGTTTGTATTATGTATTGAATTTATTCGCATTATATATTCAAATCAATAATACATGAATGTTCACTTTAGAGAAGTTAACCCTTTTGCAAACCGTATATTAGTGGTCGAAAGATTAAAACTACGAAATCCTTGTAGTTCTCCTCCCCTCACACACATACTACTTTTGATTTCGAACAGTTGCAAGGCTTGTCTACGTAGGGTTTTTATATTTACTCTTCAAGCGTAATGCAAATAAGGGATAAATTTCTCGAGGAAATATCCCTGTTTTTCGGGCAAAAAGCTCTAGTGTGTTTGCCATAAAGAATTGAGGGATTTTAAGAAAGCTTATTTGAAACAGAGTATGTATCAAGGACTGTTCCAAACAATTTCATAACAGGAAATTTATTTAGAACATTTTTCGAGTTTTTATCCAAAATAAAGTATTGTATTATTAAAGTTATTTATGTATATATAAATTTCAAATCTAAACGTAAAGCAGCTGAAAAGGAAAAAGTGTTTTTCTCAGATTAGCATGTCTTTGGAAAGGATTATAAAATATAATGTGTTTGTAAGTATCTATTTAAGATTATAAAGTGTAACATGTTTTCTTCCAAGAAAACATTATCTTTATTTCAATTGGAAATAGGATTCAAATTGAGATATTCGGAGAAAGGCAGTTCAATAAGAATAATGGAAACGTTCTTAGAACTTCTGTTTCTCACAAACGACCTTCAACGACTTTTCTATTTCGTAATATCTTTGAAGTTTATCATAACGCATAAAAATATGTTTGCATTATATCACTGATTCTATACTGGTGATGGTTTTCCCCATGTGTAACGTATATACGAGTCAGTTTCCCTTAGAAAGTCCTCCACGAAGGCATCCCTCCTCTTAGGCATATAGCCCTCGAGGCTTTGCCATAATCACACACACACACACACACTATACTGGTGAAATAAATAAAGAGAATTTTCATATTTTATCGAATTGCATGAAAAGAACTGAACGGAAAACCACTGCTTCTAGAATAAAAATGCAAATCTTGTACGGCAAATATGTAAGGGTACACGTATGTGTAAGGCGAAGCCAGCAGAGAAAAACGCTTCATAAGCGCGTGGAGGGTAAGACGAATTCTGTTCACTAGCACACCTCGGCGAATTTCTTGGTGTTATTTTGTAGCAATCGGTTAAACAGTAAAAATGAGTAACCACCAACGTTTAGATGATGGGTTGAGGTGGCGAATTATGGGGAGGCTAGCGGCAGGCATATTCACAAAGCCTACAGACTATTTCTACTACGGTCTGCTCTCATTAGGTGAAACATTTGCTTGTCGGTCATATTTTAAATGGCGAGTTATCACCTTGTAGGCGTGGTAATTAACGCCAAAAAAACCTTGCAAGTTTTCAGTACAGCGAGAAGAAACAGCGTTTATTTCATTCGATAATTTTTTGTTTTATAAATGAAAGCTAAGAGGAATTGTGTGGAATATATTTTAAATAACCTACTGATCTTATTAATAGTTTATTTGTATTTGAATTTAAACTGTTAAAAGTACGATAATTGTTTTGCAAGAAAAAAGGTTTATAATCAATATTTACAATCAATCAATTCAATAAACATTTAAGGGCATCGGATACATATTCTTTTAATCTAAATTATGAAAATAAGTATAACTAAAATTATATTTTATTCCATTATGCTCTGTTACTATAGAAACTCTTTTCGGGATCTTGGTGCATAATCTTGCTACTGGTACCTACTGCAGAGAGTACAAACCAGTATATAAGAATAAGAAAAATTATCATTAACAAAAACAGAGAAAATGAATGTGTTAAATTTTTAACACCGCACCCGAAGGCGAAAAGACCAATAATGACAAAGTCATTCAATAAAGTGAGGATAAAAATAAATCCGTCCAGAGCAGAGTTCATAAAAGTCACGAGCGGAGATAGAACCAGCGATCTAGAAGTCCGAGAAATTTTTTCATCCTCGTTACCGTTGAGCTGCGGTTTCGCCGTTGGCTTTCGCACACTTTTTTGTACACGAGGCTGATATAGAAATAGTATAGGCGATGAAGGAAAAGTCGCCAAACCCTACGTTTCCTGTTTTAACCAATCGGAGCAAACAGTAGAAGAAACGGTCTGTAGGCTTTGTGAATATGCTAGAGGCAGGCCAATCGCAAGTCCAGATATGAAAAGAGTTTAATCTCCAGCGTCGTGTGTAATCTATGGAAAAAGTTCCAAGATACTGGATCCACTGAGAGAAATCCTGGGTAAGGTCGTTCAAGAACCACGACGGCCAAAGAAGATCTCTATTTGTCCATTTTAGCGAGGCGTAGCAGAGAGACTACAGCTTCTCAGCTCTCTCGGGACCTATATGCCGCCCCAGGAACCCATGTGACAAGATGACTGTTTCCAAAAGACTGAACGAGAGAGGGTTGTTTGCCAGAAGACCGGCTGTTTGTGTCCCGCTCACGTCTACGGACAGGAGAATCCGATTAGCATGGTGCAGGCAGCATAGTGATTGGAGTACGGAGCAATGCGCGACCGTTCTGTTCACCGACGAATAACGTTTTAACCTAAACACCAATTCTCGCCGTACTTTCATATGGAGAGTGCCAAGGACCCGCTACCTACCCTCTAATGTTTGCGAAATCAACAATTATGGCGATGGCGGTATAATGGTCTGGGCAGGCGTCATGTTGGATGGCCGCATACATCTCCACGTCTTTGACAGAGGCTGTGTGACTGGTGTGAGGTATGGGGAGTTCAGGGGTGCAGTGGCTCCGAGTTCATTACAGGGCAATAACGCGAGGTCACATAGAGCTCTTCTGGTCGACGAATTTCTCGAGAATGAGGATATTCGCCGAATGAATTGGCCAGCCAGGTCTCCAGACCTCAACCTTATGCAGTATGTATGGGACACTCTGGGGAGGGCAGTTGCAATTGGCAACCCCCTTCGAGAACCATCCAGGAACTGAAAAATGTGTTGTTGAATGAGTGGGACCAATTGCCACAAGCACTGATAAACTGCCTTATTTCCAGTATGACATTACGCTGCGAGGCCTTTATGGCTGTAAGAGGGGACCATACCCCCTATTATCTTTCGTGTCTTCTGTAACCGCTGTTTCAGATCTTGAGACTCCCATGAGTGTTACACACGAACATGTGTGTCAGTTATAACTGCTGAATGTTTATTTTGTTTAAATTGTATCAACCTATGTTCACACCACATTTTATTAAAATATGTCCAGTAGTTCTGAAGATCGTAGATCAAATATTAAAATTCTCTTAATTTCTTAAACCAGTGTACAAAATATGATGCTGCGATATTTAGTTCTTTAACAGCAGGACTGTTGTTCTCTGCAAAATCACAGCCTCATACGCTTTTAAATTTCATTATCATTAGCTGATAATTAAGATCAAATTTCTCTCTCTGTTTTAAGAATAATGAGACAAGTGTCTGAAAGTATGATTTTGAATTCTGAAAATTTTCAAGTAAATGAAGTTACATATAAATTATATTTACAACTCATTTTTCAATTCACTTTAAATAATTATTTATGGTGAGTGTTCCGTACGTAATTATAAGTGCTATTGTGGTAGCGCGATCAAGATGAAGAAAAGGATTTAAGTTGCCATGGAAATTGCAAGCGATTTTTACTCTTAGATTTTGGATTCTAACATTTGAAAGAATAGAGTTAAAGAGTGTTGTGAGTGTTTTCAAAATGAAGGTAAATAGAATGTTTTTAAAATACAATCCACTGAAATTTTTGTAACAAGTGCCTTTAATAATCAGCAGTGAGTTGTAACAAAACAATAGATTATCGACATTATATCAAAACTATTATCTAGGTTTTTTGTTGCTTTCCTTTATATGAATTTCTTAATTTGGTTTCCAGCATTTTACACTGAATTAAAACAGAGATTCGTGTATTTCCTTAGATGAAATTACGAAATTTAGTATGAATTTCACGAGGACTTAACACACACACAAATTCAAACCAGATACGGAGATAGATTTTAGCATTCGTTTAAAGGTGTCCTCAATCTAACTCTGTTTCTGTCTTAAATTGAGCTTTTTTTTCCCCCTTCTAACTTAACTAAATTGTAAGAGTTACACCTCACAGTTTGGAACTTATCTCCAAATAATCTACGTATTGAGAGTCTAGCCTTAAATGACCTAAGATCCAATTTTGTAAATGTACAATAAAATACAATAGAATGTTTGTAAGAAATTCTGCCGAAGGAGAAACATGCATCGCCTTTGATGAAACCGTAATGATCAACATTACAGGCTAAGAGTAATATATGAGAAGAGAATTAATTTAAAACTTATGTATTATTATGCCACATTATATATTATGTCACAAATTGCTAATAATTTAAATCAAATGGAGCTTTCAAGTAAGCTAATGCTGATGGTAAATATAATTAACCATACATTAAGTCCAAAGGAAGTTGAACTTTGGGAATTGGAAAAAAGAAAAAAATATCATCCAAAGAGTTAATTAGACTTATTTTCATAGAGAATCTGAAATAACAAATATAATTTACAGCTCTTGAATAATTTTCAATGTTTGGAAGATTAAACATAAAAGCAGAACCCTTTAATTTTCCTCTTAAAAAAAAAGATCCGGAATAAAAAATTCCTTTTATATATCTAAATCTGAATCCTAATAGCTAGATCCACATTTAGGAAAGTGTGTGCCAACAGAATTTCATCGGAATAATATATCGAAACTATTAAAGCGAATAGCAGAAAATCCGTCATTAAACTTATGGTGGAGGATGAAATGTTATTCTGAAAAAGACTAGAATAAGCTTTCCAAATAGTAATTTGTAGGTTAACCTCAGAATTTATCGCCAAGATTGGTTCTTCAAGGTTAATCATTCAATATGCTCCTGGGAAAGAATGGTAGCCTATGCATTATCAAGAATAAAACTGGATGAGGAGGATTTTTTTTTTCTTAAAATAAGCGGCGAAATACTGAAGTAAAATACTGAAGTATAGTTGTTATCAAAGTTCGAAATTTGGGCACCTAGCGCTGCTGGTACAATGATTCAAAGCGTCTACATGTCAGGTATTTTCTCCACTTTCCAGCGTACCTTCGTGGTACAATTAAAAACACTCTCGGCTATCTAGCGGAAGGTCAGGAGTTAGAATCCTGGACAAAACATTGCAGATTTTTTTTGTTTGCAGATTTACTTCTAAATACTTAATTGCTGTACGCAGAAATGGGATCTTTTGGATTGGATTTAATAATAAAGTTTACAAGTAAGTTAAGAGGTCGCCTGTACCAACTCGTCAAGGCGGTCATTTAGCAAGCTAAAAAAATATTCCCACACTTTTCCAAAATCAAAAACCATGAACGGAAAGAAAGAAAACTATTCTGTAGAGAAAATAAGAGTTGGACTCATCAGCGCTATATAATAAATACTCTAATAAAGTACTATATAATTTGAGCAGCAGTCTGACACCCTTCCCGAAAAAGTGACTACATATTTGGTACAATCAGTTCCGGTGCAACCCGATACACAATGTACACCGATTTAGCTACAGAATGTAGCTACTGATAAGATGAATAAATTACTAATGATGCCGATACTACGACTTAATTTAGCCAGGGAACTTCTATTTCAAAAATCTCACTTATCACTTTTAATAAAAATAGTGTTTTCTTTAACTTTTTATTTAGTCTTGAAATGTCGAAGACGTACTAAGCATGTCACGCATCTTAATCCATGTCTTCTTTTATAATTATCTCTGCCGATCGGTACCGAGGAGTTTTTGATAGACCAGAGGGAGTTTGTAGCGTGACAACAGATGCCTTCTTCGCAGGATCTTGCTCTCTGTCGCAAGGACGAAAATAGTAAGCCAGTATGCATAGCAAAGCTACAACGAGCATAATGCAGAGAATGACTCCGATCAATGTCGTAGCCGAAAATCCACCTATAAGGAAAAGTACGGTTTGATCAGTATACACAGAAATAGAAATTAATGTTATTTCTTGCAACAATACTTTCGAAATTCCATTTATATTAGTAGACGAAAGATACAATTCAGATCGCAGCAAAATTACACGCACTGCAAATCTTGGCAGATTTTAGTTTACGGGAAAGATCTGCCAAGCTATAATTTTGCTTTTTTAAAACAGAAATACAGGAATAATAAAGTCATAATTATATTTATACAGGAATAATATAGTCATAATTATAATTCAGTACATTCAAAAAGAATTATGCGAGTTAAATTAACTGCTAAGTTTCTTTGGTCAATACATAAGACAAGGGCATCCATCTGCTACAATACCTTAATGACATGAAGCGCCAAACCGAGGAAGCCTTACTTGCTCTATGAATCTCAATGCTTTTCTTAGTTCCCCCTCCTAAGAGCCTATACTCTCAGAATACAGATTTCAGCCAGTAATTAAACGACCCACGGGAAATTATGGATGGTATAGAACAAGTTGTAAATACTATTAAGTATCTGATTTCTAAACGTAAATTTCTGATAAGATTTGCCATCGTTTTGGAAAAGACGCCGAACAACGCTGCATCGCGAAATGTAACATCACATATTTTATACGTTATTATTGTATCTATTGTTCTATATTATATTTGGTTATATTTGCATATTCCACCAGGAGCTTAGTGGTAAAACCAGCAAACATTAGTAGTTCGACCCGGCTTCAAATGGTGGCTAACGGGCAGGCTGCAGGGGAATTCTTGGATACGAGATAGGTGTCTTTAAACGGGTCCTCTTACAAAGGCAAGTCAGTTTATCCCTTGAGCACCTAGACTTTGCGTGTTTTGACGTAATCTAAATAATCTAACTCAATGATCCAGGCAAAATAGCTGATCAGAATCTGTGAATAATTATTTCAGTTGTGATAAATAATACAAATAATTTTGTAAAGATATTATGAAAGAAAAATAAAATAATGAATTTTGTATTTTTAACAAATGTTTATTTGAAAACTTTTATTACAAAGAACATAAAAATTTTTAATTGGGAGTAAAGAATCAATTACATGCCTCTAAAACGAGGTCCGACTTAAAGCGTGTTAAGAATCCTTGAGCTTATCGATCGTGTCAAAAACCTCCTTAATACTGGAATAAGTAAAGTAATGCATAAAAAATATTCATTGCATTGTTTACCACCTTACCTTTGCAGTCTTCTATCTGTTTTTCATCCTGATGCGTATCATTAGGGGCCACTATAAAGGTAAAAATGATATATATATATATATATATATATATCTTAAGAAATGTAGGAGAAAATGATTTGACTTTATTATGAGGAAGAGTGATCTAAAAATTACAGAAGAACTGAAACTAATAAAGCATAAAAATCTTAAATTTAAGTCAAAATAAATACATCTCCAATGGATTATGAGAGTAATTCTTACTCTTGGGTATGGAGCATATAAATCCTCTTTTCTGCTGGCAACTAATATCATTCCATTCCATTGTTCCTGTTAACATTTCCACACACTTTTCATCTTCGCTGTTAGGTTCATCAGCATCCCAAAAAGTGAAATCAAAATTCGAACCATCAGCCCAAACGAATTCTTCATCTGCGAGAAACAAGGACAGGAATATTATGGTTTACAAGCGGATTATAATATTATTCATTTAATATAAATAACAGCATAACTAAACATATATTTCAAAAGCATTCTCTATAAGCAAAAGCATACAATTCTTTCTCTTTATTTTTCGAATACATTCCTGTGCGGATAGTCCTAATGCACCCTAGCGAGCTTTAGATAACCTAAACTAATTGAATAAACATTCACAAAGCTATAGCTTTTGCAAGATATATTTTCTTCATCTGGTTCGGATCGTTTGAATCTCAAATTTCAATTAAAACAAATTTTTTTACAAATAAAAAATCATTATTTTTTCAAAAGAGACTTTTTAATTTATGCGGAGTTTAAGCACTTACAATAAATAAGACATTTTTATACGTTTTGATAAATACTGCTTCAAAAATACGAAGCATCTATATTTTTAATCCCTGAAATCTACATCTCTTCTTTTAAATAAAATTCGTGAAGGTTAGTTTACTTAAATGTAGCAAAGCCCACGAAGGCTCTATGCCTATGGGAAAAAATGCCTTTGGTGAAGGCTTGTTATGAAATGAGTGAAGAAAATGCCTTCTCTTTTTAGACAGAAGTAGTGGAAGGTGATTTCTCCCTCCCTACCGCGTGCCTTTGTGGTGTAACTGGATGCATGTCCAGCTATCAATCTGGAGGTCCAAAATTTGAATCCTGGACTCAATATTTTGACAATGATTTCATGATTCCTGCTAAAGGAACCTAATTACACTACAGCTGTACTGGAAGCATTGATCCAATGACTGAAATTTTCGTTTCAGAACAAAGCTGATGTTTGAGATCAATTTGAAAAAACGAAAAATTGCTAAAAACCTCTTAAACTCAATGGATTATTTCGATTTCGGTTAAGCACGATAGGAGTATCAACTCGAAAGGAAAATGCCTTCGGAGAGCTTCGTAAGAGAAATAGTTCAAATCCATGTTACTCATCAAATAATGATGAAGAAAGACTAATTTAATTTTTTAAATAATTTTCATTATTAACAGTGTGGCCAATAATTGTTTTGTAGTCTTTTCTGGAAGACTGAGCGACAGTGGCCGATATTGCAACACTTAGGCAGATCGTTTCTTGTTTCGTTTCAGGCAAACGCGCTAAATGCGTGAGGTTTTTAATCATTATTTTTCATGCAAAATTTGAATACAATCTACCTTTCTTTAAAAGGTCTTTCTAAAGCAAATAGCCTTGGCTTGCTATGTTACAATCAAATAAATGGGCGACGGTATCTAAAAGACTGATTTTCTTTCTTAGTAAAATCTTAGAAGATTAGCTTCGTATTCTGAATGAAATTGTTCTAATTAAATAAATACGTTTACCGATGTTCTTTCTTATGTATACAGAGTATGATTTCATTAACTCTTAGATCCATATAACGATGATTTTAAGAACTATAACATCTTAAATATAACTATAAAATCTTCTTTGTCCACCTGATGTTTAACATCGATCAAAAAATGTTTATTTCCATACCTTGTAAATATATTATATATATAAACATATGTTACCGTGAAAGACCGAAATTGGAGAATAACGACTTTCACCGGAGAATGTCAATATTCACCAAATACGTCGGTGAAAGATCGAATATTTCTTTACATTCTTGTACATTCGGACCCTCACCGGTGTATGTCGACAATCACAGATATGCTCTGGTGTAGGTCGAAAAGAGAGGAGTATATGTACACGCTGCCATTCCAAAAGGAAGAGTTCCACAAATAAATGCAGTTGTAAAAGCAAGGGCCTCTTGTGCAAAAATAAAGTCAATAGTCAAATAGTCAAAGTGTCATAATAGTTTAAGTTGTTGCAATAAATAAGATTTGAATCACATAATTTGGTAAGTTTATAACTTCTATTATTTTCGTTTCTCATTTTGAAAGTACTGTGTGTTTTAAGTTCTTATATTCTTAAGTTCTTATTCTGAGTCTCAAGTGCGTTTTTCGCGAAAGAATTACGGAGAAGGAAATATAATATTCTTCTATGTTCAACATTCACTATTAGTACATGGTGAATGTCGACATTCACCGGTGTAAGTCAGAAATAAGAGTATTTGGAAAATATTTCGGACATACACCAAGCGACTATGTGAATGTTGACATTCACCGGTGAAAGTAGACATTCTCCAGATTTCGGTGTTTCACCGTAACATATATATCTATATATATATATATATATATATATATATAATCCGTTTTACTAAAAAACGTTCAATATTATTCCTTCCTTGAATTCATGTGTCTTCTTATTAAATAAAAACGCAAAAATTATTTGAAAGGTTAGACCATAAACTGTATTATTTACCGTACTGCATATGACGATAGAGTCCTATGTGCAATGAGAATTGCGTATATCTGACAAACTGGTGTAGTACGTCCACTTCCTCTTGTGAGTGAATGCTGACTAATGTACCACCTGAAATGATAAAAAATAACTTTGTAATGTTTAAGAAAAAACTTAAAAGTAAAAAGCGTGTAGACAGTGTTTGAATTGAAAAGGAAAAGGGTGCACAATATTTCAAAGTACTTACAAACGTTAATTTCGATGTCCGAGAAAAATTGCTTTCCCTATAAATACAAATTGTCTTTTATTCTATTGTTTTATGTCACTCAGTTTACTATTGTTTATGTCACTCAGTTTATTAAATTTTATCTTCACTCAAGTTCTCCCTAAGCTTTTCCTCCTTGGCTTCAAAGAACATAGAGTATCCTTGAACAAAGTGAATTCTTTTTGTCGACACTTAATGCACGTGTATCAGTAATGTGACAGGCATTTATCATGTGTAATACAGTCGAAAGGGTTCTAAAATTTCTTTGCATGCCCAACACGTTTATGAAGTTCTTTATTCTTCTTTTATTAGCTTTCCAACAAAAGCAGGCATTAAAACTAAATGTATCAATTTGATAAAAGCATACAAAATTAAAACTTACATTAATGCCAATAGTCAAAATTGTATCAGTAAACTGAAATTTTCCTCTCTCGAAACTGATTAGATTTTGAGGGAACTGATATCACTACTGCATTGAATATGCTGAAGTAGCAAAGTTACTGATAATTTGTTGGAAGCTGTGAAAAGATAACTTCACAACCCTTTATTACCTCCATTAACGGCCAGAATACCTAGTTCACCATATTCAAGACATGCCTTCAACATTAATTCTTTGTTCGTTAATAAATAGAAAATATTTGAAACCGGTTATTAGCTTCGGTAGCTCAATGGTTTGAATTAGGAGCAGAAGGCCTTAAGTCTAAGTCCTACCAGAGTTCAAAATCGGCTAAATCATCTATGCAGGGATAGACATACTTTTTGCAGATGCTGATCTTAGCTGGTATGCATTTCGCGCTAAGAAGAGAACTGGCCACGTCGAATTTCGAAGTCATACTCCTAATCTCATCTCTTCCGTATTCAAAGCTGAATCACGTGAGTCACATCTTTTAAGTATTTGCAAAGGATTACCACCCTCGAAAGTTTAACTGGTGAACAGCACTTTTAGGAGTGGAACAAGAGGTTTGGGTTTAAACTTCCGACCACGAATTAATATCTATATATTTACAGGGTGGTTAGCTACCAGATCGATAAACTTGCAGGGTGTGTAGGGGGTACAGAGGAATCACATAAGAATGCAGGGTCGTAAATACCGCAGTTGCGAGTTACGGTGCAAAGAAGCAGAGAAAAAGAACAGAAACAGCAAAACACTAATGGGACAGAAAACATTTTATTGAAATGTTATACTATAACAGGTGTTCGAAATAACGACCAAAAGTCGTCTGGCAGGCCTGACAGCAGCGCTGCTTGGAATTCCCTACGTTCTTTAAGATTCCTAGCATGTCACGTATCCTCCTGGCAGCTAGAAATACGAGAGATGTGGTCTTCAACTGAAGGAACGGGCATCTTGTACACCAAACTCTTCATGTGATCCCATATGAAGAAGTCCATGCATGATAAGTCCAGTGATCTGGCAGGCCAATGAACTGGGCCACCACGACTTATGCACCGCTGTCCAAAGGTTACCTCGAGGTGTCGGCAGACATCAGTCGTGTAATATGGAAGAACCTTCTCATACTGATACCACATAGACCTACACCGGACCTATCATGCATGGACTTCTTCTTCTAGGGTCACATGAAGAGTTTGGAGTACGAGACGACCGTTCCTTCAGTTGAAGAACTCGTCGCTCGAATATCTATAGCTGCCATGAGATTACTTGACATGCCAGGAATATTCAAGAACGTACGGAATTTTATGCAGCTCCGCTTTCAGGCCTGCCAGACCACTTCGGGTTGTAATTTCAAACACCACTTCTAGTACAATCTTTCAATAAAATGTTTTCTGTCCCATTATTGTGTTACTATTTCTGTTTTATTCCTCTGCTTCTTTGCACTATAGCTCTCAACTACGGCACTTGCGACCCTCCATTTTTATGTGATTCTGAGTCATCTCTGCACCCCCTTCGGTATGGTAGTGAATCACCCTGTATATACAAAAATTTATAAAATTAATCAAGCTTAAATAAATGACTCTTTTATATTTGACGAAAAGGAGGAATACCATTAACTGCATATCTAATGTCATGACACATTTTAATACTATTAATAATCAAATAAATAAATAATGTAATTTTATTATAAGATTCCTTTTTTAAAAAAAAGAAGGGTGTATGTATGGTATGTAGCTATAAAAGTGTGCAGTTTAATTATAGTTATTTTTGGTCCAAATGAGCATTATCCCAGAAGAGCTTAGTCTTAAAACTGCATTTTGTATCGAATCACTATAAATAGCTGTATAACTTTTCAATTGTCACCACCAATCGCCGTCCAGGATTCACCTAAGGAACTAAATAATGAAAAATCTACATGAATGTATGTATGTTTATCGTATTGTGAAAAAACAATGGTACTTAGAGTCATCAAATTCTGAATAACATAGTCCTCCACCCGAACATGGGCATCTAGAAACCCGAATTTGCAATCTGTTTTATTGTTTATTTTATATTTTGTAAAAATTTAACAAATGTTTTATTAAAAACTCAACAATTTCAAAGCGAGCAGTATCAACACTGTAGTAAAACATTTTTACCTCCAGCGCTCGAGACTGTCCATCTGAAATTAAAGGTATGCTGTTTTTAATTATTTTTAGTCCAGTATGGCGTTAACCCAAATGCTCTCAAAACGCGTAAGTGTCTCTAAATGAAAAAAAGGGCTTTCTTGGGCGTAATACAAAATCTGAAAGCTTTCAGATTTTAACTGTTTATTTAGATTTTAGTCAAAATTTTAGTCTGCAAATTTTCCCACAGTGACACTTAATTTCCCACTTAAAATATGCAATATTTTGAATATAAGTATTGGCACCTTAATAAATCCTTCCTTTAAAAATGTTCAGCCAAGATATACCATGGCATTTTTGCTTACCTCTTCTCATGCATATAAAGTTGGCTTCATACCAAGTTATAGCACTTTTAGTATCAAAATAGTAGCAACGAGCTCCACCAAGATCCCTCCACTCATCTGGTTCTTCGGGACAAAATGAGTTCTCCGATAGCGGGGGTTTTAGGACAGAAGGAGTAGCTGGGAGTAAATACGAAAGAAATTTATTGCTAATACAGAATTTTTTTAATTCACTTACAAGTACTTATTTACTATAACAATCCATTCGCAAAATTTATACTATCAGGAAATAAGATGAACATATATCTCAAATAGAAAATTAATCGTTTAGAATTTCAAATGCAATACTGAAAAATGTAATAAATTATATTTTGTAAGCTTTTAAGAATAGTTCCCGAAAGAACATGAACGTAAAGTATCTACTTCGCACCTTTTTTAAAACATTGTGCAATTTGCCCAGATAATTGAAAAAAAATTTTATAATATTGTTAGATCAAAATGGTTCGTCCCAAGTTCAACAATTAACAGAAGAATAGGCATTATTTCACTTCATCTTCACTGAAGGTCTAAATATGTATTCAGGACAGAAAACTAAAAGAAGACTGGAATATACTCGTATTAAAATCGAAGAGCAAGAATCAAGGATTCTTATGAAATGACATTTTATGCCGAACGCTCAGCTCTTGATAGGTTTATTTTTGACTTTGCTGGAAGAATGTTCGGTTAATAAAGTATGTTCTAGTAATTATCACATAGCTTCACATTAAGTCCTAGTATATCAAATTTCTACAATCCTTCCAACAACTCGTCATCATCTTCTTATGCAGACACTCTGCTGAGACCTTTCTTGGGGACTCTTCTTTTTTGACAAAACTACTTTTGTGCATAGTATTAAAGTATATCACATGTGCTGCGTTACCGGCACCAAACAATGCAAAAGCCATTTAAAGTTTATATATATATATATAGGAGCAGATTTAAAGCGATGATAAATATAACCAGTTCTGGACAGCTAAAACGTGGAGCAAGTTCATCAGTTTAGCGAAATACCTTAATTTTCATATTTGTTGACGCTTATTATAGAATATAGTTTGTCTGGAATTTATGGTAATGTCTGGTATTCTGCATTAGTATATGCATTAATAGTTGGGTTATTCTATTTCTGGATATATCTGACAGTTCCCAAATGTCAGTTTCGAATGTTTTGCATCAATTGCTTTGCTTTGATGCAAAAGCAAAGCAATTCCTTTGCTTTTTTTTGCATCAATTGCATATGCTTTGCTTTTTAACATCGTTCGCGAATACCTTGTGCAATGTAGAAAGTACAACCAACAATTTTAATTCCCCAACTTTAATTTGAATTGTCTTTTTTTAGCTTTTCCATCATTTCTTTGTGTCTATTTTTAAGAGATTTGATTTCATACCTTTTAGCACACTCTGATATCGCTGTATATTTATCTGAATATTTGAGTCTACTTATTCTGTTTTATCATTTCTTTTAACGCTCCAAAATTTCCAAAATTTTGAACTAATGGAGAAACTTTAAATGATGATAGAATACACTTAAATTAACTTTTTTCTTTTACATTGAATACATGGTTGTAGTTTAGCGATTATTACTGTTTGAAGGATACTTTTCTAACAGACGTGGTCTTTCGTAATACAGACTCAAGAACAGCATAAAAATAGAAACACAATTTGGTTTAAGACAAAAGAGTAGAAAGTAAAACGTCAAAAATGTCTGATGTCACTAAATTAAATTAATCATCAGTAAACTGCAATTATTAAACAAAATGAACATATTAAATCAAATTTACAAACATATATAAGTAAATAATAAAACTTATTATAATTACAGATGTTGCCCAAAAAGACTGCCATTGTTCCTTATACGCATAAAACGTCATAAATTCTAGAAAATCTCATTAATTTCTTGAATACTTGCAGTAATGGTTTAAGTCTGGGCTTGGCTCGACTATTCCTCATCTGCCTGGAGGTAAGTTCCTCAGCGGAATCAACAGAAATCTCGAACACTTCAAATTTCTGATGTACCGGTTGAAATAAATATATAGAGGACAAATCCGGTGGGCACAGAGAAAAAGCAACGGATCTTCCTTGGCCAATCCATTCACCTGAAAAACTAGCATGTAAACAGTAACGTACTTGAGAGCTGAAATGAATTGGTGCTCAATCTTGCTGGAAGCAGATTTAATGCTGAATGGTTATTGGCACATATTCCATCAATTCAGGCAAGATCCTACTGAAGGAAAATAAGGCATATTCCGTATCTAAGCATTCCTAAAAAATGTATGGTCAATCTACTATCGCAAACGATATCCGTTCAAACACCTATTAAGAATCGTATCTGATAGGAATGTTGCCGTGTTACATGCGGATGTTACTTGCCCACACTTGCCTATTGTGGGCATTAAATACACTACACTTTAAACTTTATTTTAATCAAATGTAATTTCTATGCTAAATCTGTCCTTTACTTCTACTTTCTTTTTTCAACTCCACCAGAAATGTAAATTAGATGGGTTTTAATCAATGCTGTTCTGTGTTTCGCCTGTTTATAACAACTGCTGGTTTCGGTGAGTACTTTTTGCCTTTTGCTCATAACTGCGCTTAGAGATCGTGCTTACATTTCAGGAGCCGATTTAATTGGTATTTTATTTACTGTTTGCTTCACACATATTTAGAATCTGTTGCATTTCCAGATTCGTAAAGTAATGATGTTTAAATTGCTATAATTTTAGTTGCTATCTACAATCTGTGCTATAAATAAACGTGTAGTTTAATTGTATTCTGTTGCATTAAATTTGTGTTTGGGACTCTCAAGACAAATTGACAGCAACCTAGGTAGCTTAATTAAGGGTGTATTTTTAAGAGAAAATTATGTTATACATATCGACGAATGAATAAATATATGACCATCACATATATCGGGAACTCCAGTTCCGCAGAACTGTTCTGTAGGAGTCATAGGAACGTAACTCGTGCAGAAAATTCAGCAAATCTCTCTGCACATAACATTGATGTAATCGTTTAAAGTGGTAAAATAAGCCATATATTTATACTGCCTGAAAATGCTTACTACAAACAGACTGCGGAAAAGATGTATGTGGAGAACAGAAAAGCACCCTCCAACATTTAATCTTTTAACGTTTCACATGAAAAGTTTTAGTACTGGCATGTTATATCTATTACATTTTAACAGTGTCTTTTACTTTGAAACACCTACTATTTTTACGCAAGGTAGTCGTATATACACGATACATCCTTTTGCTGGAATATGGTCATTATTATCATTATCTTCGTATACATCAAACACTACCCCAACTTTCTTTAAAATTCTTGACCCATCACCGTAAATTTTTATAAACTTCTTCGTAGCGGATTCCTTGATACTTTCGTGCATCAGTGGAGTTTTTTATGCAAGGTAGTCAGTCGTATATCATCAAAGCTGCAAGAGCTCTGTTATGCAACTTTTTCAAAGCTGATCAATTTCAAATATTTTTGGGTTAATGAATGTCCAGTTATTAAACATATTGATTACCTTGCTTTTTATTTTATTTGGTTCTCTTATCTAACTAAACTTAAAATCCAAGAATTTAATTATAGTGCTAAATTCTGCTATTTAATTCCTGGACATAACCAAACTGTTCTTTCGTGGCAAAACCACCAAAATTTACATCTTTTCTCTGCAAAAATATAATTTCTACCTTAAAATACAATTAAAACGCTTTTTAACGATGCCGAAGCTTTCTTTTCAACTATTTAAATTTTTTTTTTTAATTTCGCAAAAATTAAAAGTTGTCAGGAAACATTTTCCAGGGGAGTCTCAGTCTTAAAATTAATTTCTAAAGCTATGTATGCCCTACATTGGAGTTCAGATATACTCTTTTAGAATACGATCTAATTATATATGTAGGATGCTCCACGCCATCGAAGCCGAAGATGAGACGATGCCTTGGTGACATGAAGGAAAGACGTGTGAGTAAGACGTTCCGTAAGAATGAAAATACGTCCATCTTTTATTTAGCGAAGCAAATCATCTGAAAATATTTATTCATGTTTCTGTTTTCATCCTGCTTCATATGTATTCGAAAATTCTCATTAAAATACAGTTAATTGTTCATTTAGATTTAGTATATATGTTCACATAGACATTACCGAACTTAAGTCTTACTCTATGAAGAAAATTCCATGAAGTGGAATTCTATATATATACATCTAGTAAAATATCCTTATTAGAAAGTATGTATTTCTCGGAAACGTAACACCTTATCACCTTACATATTTTTTCAGATAAAGTAAGCCTGCAAGTAAGGTAGTTAATCACTTCAAATCATTAAAGGTCAGATTAAAATAAAATGGACTGAATAAGTGTTCAAATACACATATTTTCGGAGAAAAATATGCAGAATAATTCAAAACTATCTAGCAAAAATGTAAAGGCACGTAGAAGGGTTCGAAGTCGAGATTTTGTAATGGAATATGTATTACCAAATGGCGCTCTGAGGTGATACAGGGAGCTGTAAGCAGGAGAGATAAAAGCGTTCTGCGTCCCCATATGAATTTCAAACGGTATGCGTCATTTCATGACAGCGGAGTTCTTTGACTTGCATTTTGCTACGAAGCAATTGCTCAGAGGAAGTGGATGAGAATCATCCATTGTATCTCTTTTTAGTAGCTGCTCCTTGCTCATCAGTTATGATAACCTGAAGAATTTGAAATGGCCAACAGAACGAGTTGTAGTGTTATTACGTTATTTTGAAGCAGGACACGTGAAAAATGTGCAGTTCTCTCTTCGGGATTCTATCCCTAGACCTCTCGAATATGCGTCGAGTAATCTTCCAATTACACCACGAAGGCATGCGCAAAGGAAGGAGAAAATACCTTACATACTCCCCATTTTAAAGAATGAGTGAGAATTAGGGAATCCATTCGCTAAATCCTGATACTGACGAATTATCATCCCCCACCTTTTAGTTCGGGTGCCACTTGTAGAGTCATTAGGTTACTTTGAAGCAGGAGACGAGAAAAATGTTCAGATTCCTTTCCGGGACTAGAAAACTGAACCTCTCAAGTTCTGGAATTATCTCAAAACGTGTGTCATAACAACACTTAACATGCTTACCTGTAGAATTGTCATATAAGCCAAAAAGTCCAATTTT